GCCTCAGATTTTCTATTTTTAGTAGAGATAGGGTCTCTGTTTTGCTCAGGCTCGTCTCAAACTTGAGAGCTCAAGCAATCTACCCTCCTTGGCCTTCAAGAGTGCTGGGATTACAGGCGGGAGCCAACATGCCCAGCCACCTCTGCTTTTTTCTGCTTTCCATTTGCCTGAATTATAGATGTCCATCCCTTCACCTTGAGCCTATATTTATCTTTTCAGGTAAGATGAGACACATGGTTCTCTCAATTGATGCAGAAAAAGCCTTTTATAGTATCCAGCACCCTTTCATGATCAGAACACTCAAGAAAACAGGCTTAGAAGGGTCATTTCTGAAACTGATAGAGACCATATACAGCAAACCCACAGCCAATATCATAGTGAATGGAGTGAAATTGACAATATTTCCACCCAGATCTGGAACTAGGCAAGACCATTGGCCAACTAGGCAATGGCCACTGTCTCCACTGCTATTCATCATAGTAATGGAAGTTCTAGCCATTGCAATCAGGCAAGAGGAGGGGATCAAAGGTATTCAAATGGGGTCAGAGGAGATTAAACTCTCACTCTTCATGGATGATATGCTCCTATACCTGGAAAATCCCAGGGACTCAATTACAAAACTCTTAGAAGTGATCAAGGAATACAGCAGCATCTCAGGATACAATATCAATACTTACAAATCAGTAGCTTTTATATATGCGAACAATAGTCAAGCCGAAAATATAATCAAGGACTCTATTCCTTTTACAGTAGTGCCAAAGAAGATGAAATATCTGGGAATTCATCTAACAAAGGATGTAAAAGATCTCTATAAAGGGAATTACAAAATTCTGAGAAAAGAAATAGCTAAAGATGTTAACAAATGGAAAAACAACCATGTTTATGTTTGGGAATAATCAACATTATTAAATGTCTATACTACCCAAAGTAATCTACAGATTTAATGCAATCCCTATTAAAGCACCATTGTCATGCATTAAAGGGCTTGAAAAAATAGTGTGTCATTTTATATAGAATAAAAAAAAACCCTCAAACAGCCAATACATTACTCAGAAATAAAAACAAATCAGGAGGTATCATGTTACCAGACGTCAGGCTATACTACAAATCTATAGTGATCAAAACATTGCCTGGTACTGGCACAAAAACAGAGAGGTAGATGTATGGAACAGAATAGAGAACCAAGAGATGAACCCAGCCACTTATTGTCATTTGATCTTTCATAAGCTTATCAAAAACATTCACTGGCCCATTAGCTCAGTTAGGGTGCCGGCCACATACAGCAGGGCTGGCAGGTTCGAACCTGGCCCGGGTTTGCTAAACAACAATGACAACTACAACAAAAAAACAGCCAGGTGCTGTGGTGAGTGCCTGTAGTCCCTGCTACTTGGGAGGCTGAGGCAAGAGAACTGCTTAAGGACAGGAGTTTGAGATTGCTGTGAGCTGTGATGCCATGGAACTCTACCAAGGGTGACACAGTAAGACTGTCTCAAACAAATAAACAAACAAACATTCATTGGGGGAAAGATACCCTACTTAACAAATGGTGCTAGATGAATTCGCTGGTGACCTGTAGAAGAATGAAACTGGAACCTTCATCTCTCACCATTAACAAAGATTGATTCTTGCTGGATAAAAGATTTAAACTTAAGACATGAAACTATAAAAATATTAGAAGAGCATGCAGGGAAAATGCTTGAAGAAATTGGCCTGGGAGAGTTTTGTATGAGGACGACCCCCCTGGCAATCGAAGCAACACCAAAAATATATTATTAGGATATGATCAAACCAAAAAGCTTCTGTACAGCCAAGAGCACAGTAAGTAAAGCAAACAGACAGCCTTTAGAATGGAAAAAGACATTTGCAGGTTATGCTTTTGACAAAGGTCTGATAACTAGAATCCATAGAGAACTCAAACTAATCAATAAGAAATGAACAAATAACCCATTTCTTTGTGGGCAAGAGACTTGAACAGAAACTTCTATGAAGAAGACAGGAGCATGGCCTACAAACATACGAAAAAAATGCACATCATCTTTAATCATCAGAGAAATGGAAATCAAAACCACTTTGAGGTATCATCTAAGTCCAGTAAGATTAGCCCATGTCACAAAATCCCAATACAGATGCTGGTGTGGATGCAGAGAGAAGGGAACACTTCTACACTGCTGGTGGGAATGAAAGCTAATATAGCCTTTTTGGAAAGAAGTTTGGAGAATACTCAAGGAACTAAAAGTAGACCTGCTGTTTGATCCTGCAACTCTTCTATTAGGTATATACCCAGATGATCAAAAATCATTTTACCAGAATGTTTATTGCAGCCCAATTCATAATTGCCATATCATGGAAGCAGCCCAAATGCCCATCAACTCACGAATGGATTAACAAATCATGGTATACATATATCATGGACTACTATGCAGCCATAAAAAGATGGAGACATCACATCTTTATGTTTACCTGGATGGAGTTTGAACATATTCTTCTTAGTAAAGTATCTCAAGAATGGGAAAATAAGTATCCAATGTACTCAATACTACTATGAAATCAGTATATGATCACCTACACATTCATAGGAATGGTAAAACATAACTATAGTCCAGAAAGGAAGAGGAGGGAGGGGTAGGAAGAGGGAAGATATTTGGGAAGACCTTACCTAATCTGCATAATGCAATGATACATTTCAAAACTATTAAGAATAAAGTATAAATGTCTTACCACAGCAAATAAGTAAGCAAAGATTATGGTTATGTTAATCAGTTAGATGTAAACATTCCACATTGTATATCAAATTGGCACATTGTACCCCATAAATGCATTAATATACAGTTATGATATAATAAATAAAATTTATCATGTTATTAAAACAAATGGAAACAATGATTAATTATAGCATGCATTCAAAGAAAAAATAGAAAGATACTATTACATTCTTACCTGTGATTCTCTTTAAGAAATGTGACATCATAGCGAGATGCACGCTTAGGCAAAGAGCAAATAAGAGCATCAACTTTCATAATAAGGTCGCTCATGCTAAATAAACAAGATAAACAATGAGTGTTTTGGAAAGGGAAACTTTCATACTTCATTATATAATTAAGGCCATAAGAAAGGCTCTATATACATGAACATGGATAAAATTCCTACAGAAGCAGACTGCAAAAAGAGATCTACAAGATGATAGCATTTCTCTAAAAAAGTCACAGCATTCTACACAATAAACACTGATAGTGGATATTTACATATGAAGCAAAAATATAAGCATAAATATGGAAACCATACACACAATCTTCAGGTAACCTTTAGAAAATGGTTACCTCTTTGGGAGGGAGAAGAATTGGGGGTGGGTGGGAGACAAAGAGATCTGTGACAAAGAAAACATAAATGAATATCTCTTATTATTTCTTTGTATTTTCTACATGTCTTTTATCAATATTATATCTTGTCTACATATTTGAAACATTTTCTAATTTTAAAAAGAAAACATCAGATTCAAAATAACAAACCTCAAAATGAATTGCTCTTATGATTTTAAATACTTACTTCTTTGAGTTGATGTCCATATTTTCAACAATGCCTTTAATTTTCTCCAATGAATTACTAAATGTCATCTTTTCCAATAAGTAAAAATCTTCTACATAAAATTCTTTATCTAAAGGTCCTAAAAACTTAAAATAAAAATAGTTATTGTATATCCTCCAGAAGATACCAGGTTAGAAAAAACATTTCCTCATCAAATAGTTATTTCTTTGTTAAGCAAAACTGATTAGATATTAAAAATATGGCAACTATTTATCCCACTGTTTACTAAATCCACTAGGAAACAAATAAAAATATTTTCTCATTTTAATGTTACAAATGTCTTCATAAACACCAAAGTGAAAAAATTAAAAAGTAGCATATTATTTCCATTAGGAAGTTTACTTTGACACATAAATCACAATGCTTCCAAATACCTAAGTCTTTTCTTTCTAAATCTTATTATGACAGTGTTTGTATGTCATAAACTTTTAATTTCAATTTTCTTTCCTATTCATCTGTAAATTATAGTCTATATTGTATATGTATGAATTTATAAGCCAGTTATAAAACAGCAAAAGCCAAGAGACAAATCACACAATTACTATAATAATACCAACCAATCTTCTAACTAATATTACATAAATCAGGGGTCCTCAAACTTTTTAAACAGGGAGCCAGTTGACAGTCCCTCAGACCGTTGGAGGGCCGGACTGTGGGCCCTGGGATGAGTTGGCTGCTAAGCAGGACAGGCAGTGGTGGCAAAAACACTCGGCAGGCGGGATAAATGTCCTAGGCGGGCCGCATGTGGCCCATGGGCCGTAGTTTGAGGACGCCTGACATAAATAATTTGGAGTATAGCAAGGTCACCAGTAACCAGAGAGTGAAGAAGCTGTAATTTCTCAGGATGGCTACCCCATTACAACCACCATCAATTCTACCATGAGCACTTTCTGAGGAAGCTAATACATGCAATTATCATATCACATACACAAAGCTCTGATTTAAATTGACAAAGTCTCACGTACAAAACAATTATATTTAATGCCATACAATTAGAAAATATGTCAACCAGAGTGTTTTTTTCTCTTTTAAAAATACAAGAATGGGCCCCGCCAGCCCGCGTCTCCACGAGGGCCTGAGGAGCTACTGGGCCGCTGCCTGGGACCGGCGGGGGCTCCGGAGCAGAAAGCCCTCCCCGCCGTCTCGCTGCAGCTCTGAGCCACCTCCCGGCCGGCCGAGGACTAGGCGGGCGCCAGGACGCGGCCGCAGTACGTCCCTCTAAATCAAGTATTAGACCTGAGAACAAGGCTGCAGAGGCGTGGCCGAGCTTCCCGGCAGCTTCCTTTGCACTTCCCAGCGAGCGGGACTGAGTTGTAGCATAACTACGGATTTGTCCAACGCCTTGATTCGCAATCCTGGGATAAAAATCTAGCAGGAAAAGCTTGAAAAGAAAAAGTTGCTGGGTCCCAATAGTGCGGGGAATTAGGGAGAGTTGATGAAGAAGGAAGACTGAACAGCGAAAAGACAAATTTGAAACAAGTCTGTATTCATGAAGAGTGACTGCATACAAACCACAATATGTCAAGAAAGAAAAAAAGATCCAATAGAAACATTTCATTCTGGGCAGCTGGTAAAAGTCTGTGCTCCAATGGTTCGATATTCAAAGTTGGCTTTTAGAACACTAGTAAGAAAACACAGTTGTGACCTGTGTTATACACCAATGATAGTTGCTGATTTTGTCAGATCTATAAAAGCCAGAGACAGTGAACTTACCACCAACCAAGGTGATTGCCCACTGATTGTCCAGTTTGCTGCTAATGATGCAAGTCTTTTATCTGATGGTGCTCCAATAGTCTGTCCTTATGCAAATGGAATAGACATTAACTGTGGTTGTCCTCAGAGGTAAAGCTCAAAGAAGTTGGAAGAATTTTCAAAAAGATTAGGAAAAATCTATGTGGACATGGTGGGCAATGGCAGAAGGTTATGGGGCTTGCTTAATAAACAAGCCAGAGCTTGTTCAAGATATGATGTAACAAGTAAGAAATCAAGTGGGAAACCCTAGATTTTCAGTTTCTATTAAAATAAGGATCCATGATGACCTTTCAAGAACTGTAGATGTTTGTCGAAAAGCTGAAGCTATAGGAGTTTCCTGGATCACAGTTCATGGAAGAACTACTGAAGAAAGACATCAGCCAGTGCACTATGATGCCATTAAAATAATTAAGGAGAATATGTCTATACTTGTAATTGCTAATGGAGACATCAGAAGCTTAAAAGAAGCAAAAAATGTGTGGCAGAATACTGGGACAGATGGTGTGATGGTTGCAAGAGGATTCTTAGCAAACCCGGCCATGTTTGCTGGATTTGAGGAAACCCCACTGAAGTGCATCTGGGACTGGGCTGGCATTGCTCTGAACTTGGAACTCCTTACATGTGTTTCCATCAACATTTAATGTACATGATGGAAAAGATAACTTCTAGGCAGGAAAAAAGAGTATTTAATGCTCTGTCAAGCACATCAGCAGTCTTAGATTACCTTACAGACCATTATGGCATTTAACTGGACTTCCTAAATTATTTTAATATATATTTTATTCTATACCTATTATGAAACCAGAGGTGGTCACATCTAGGTTTTTACTTTATATCAGTGACTTTTAAACTTTAGTATAAAAATAGTCTCTGGGAACATTTTGAAAAATCAGTCCTAAACCCCATCCTCAGAGATAGTTTTAAAGAAGACTCCAGGTGGTTCAAACATTCTTGTCATCCTCGGTCCAAACATTACCAAACTGCTCTGAATCCTGTTATGGATTGGGGTGTGGAGGGATGGATATTTTTTTCCTACTGGAATCATGTTTTTAACATTTTAAATAAAGCTTATTTAATACTAAAAAAACAAAGAACAAAAAACCCCACAAGAATGTAATGGTTACAGACATATTTCCTTACTCTCCCTTCATTTGCTTCTGCAATTAATATTTTCTAAAAATTACTGAGGTATACTTGAATCTATCTCATTTGCTCAGATCAAAGGTGACATTAGCTGGAATGATGGCATCTCAACTAAACAAGTGTCACATTTTTTATCTTAAGTATGAAATAGCTTGTAAAACATAAAAAATGAGCACTATAATACTATAAGTACTCATATAAACATTTCTTTGCCTTAAGAGTTGACATAAGTTTTAAGGTAACTTTGAAAGCACATTCAGTATCAAATTTTCTGAAGTATGAATAGGCAAGCTTGGAAAAGAGACAAATTTTATCTATACTACCTTTAGAGACATGAGCAGTTTTATTAGTAACTTAGAATAAGAAAATAAACCTTAAACTACTTTTTGAAGGCTGGCTATCTTCATTGATTAAGTTCACCAGAGAACTGCCTCTATGTTGCAAATTATCAAAGGGCCTGGAGAAACATGGTGCTTCAGTGTCTTAGTTGAATATAATGCTTGTGGAATAAAGTAATAAATAAGTATAAAAATCATATAATGTCTAAGTTGGGAAAAAGAACATTAAACCTAAAAAATAATATAATGGTACAATAAAATATATCTGATGCTTAAATCTTCTTTACAACATTTTAGAAATGTTATTTTTCAGTTATACAAATAATTGCTAGAGAAATCAGTTACTTTCTTTGATAGCTCATTAAAATTTTAGAAAACTTAGCTAGATGCTCATGTATACTAAGCTAAAAATGTCTACTCGTGGAAGTCTGACTTGCTTTGATTCTATACTGACTTTTATCTAGTGTAACATAAATTAACTCTACAAATGTACCATTTTCCATGACAGCCTTCAAGCATTTGAAGAGAAAAATAGCAGTTTTTTCAAATTTTAAATTAATATGATGGTATAAAATTTTAGGTTATACTGTTCTCATTTCTAAGATAAAGTTCAAGGTGTAGTGATTCTAGTTACCAGGCCTTTTGTCAGATTCATAACATGCAAAAATCTTCTCCCATTCCAAAGGCTGTTTGGTTGGTTGTGGTTGTACCTTGGTTGTGGTACTCTTAGCTGTGAAGAAGCTTTTTAGCTTGAAGAAAATCTTACTTATTTATTATTGGTGCTACTGCAATTGCCAGGGTTGTCTTCCTCATAAAGTCTTTTTCCAGGCCAGTATCTTCAAATGTTTTCTCCACACTCTCTTCTTGGGTTTTTATTATTTTGTGTCTTAAATTTCAATCTTTTATCCAATGAGAATCAATTTTTGTCAGTGGTGAGAGATGTGGGTCTAGTTTCAGTCTCCTACCTGTGGCTAACACAATACCATTTATTAAATATGGATTCTTTTCCCCTGTGCAGGCTTTTGTTTGATTTATCAAAATCAGACAGGGATATGTGGCTAGGTTCATCTCTAGGTTCTCTATTCTGTTCCATGGATCTACATCTCTATTTTTGAGCCAGTACCATGTTGTTTTGATCACTATAGATTTGTAGCATAACCTGAAGTCTGGTAACGTGATACATCTAGATTTGTTTTTATTTCTAAGAACTGTATTTGCTATTTGGGTTTTTTTAATGGTTCCATATGAAGGTGAAATACTATTTTTTCAAGTTCTTCAAAGTATGATATTGGTGCTTTGATTAGATTGCATTAAATCTGTAGATTGCTTTGGGTAGAATGGAAATTTTAACAATGCTGATTCTGCCCAGCCACGAATATGGTACATTTTTCCATTTGTTAACATCTGCTGTTTCTTCTCTCAGGGTTTCATAGTTCTCATTATAGAGATCTTTCACATTCTTTGTTAGATAAACTCTCAGGTTTCATCATCTTCTTCATCATCAGCTACTATAAAACGGATAGAGTCTTTGATTTTGTTCTCAGCTTGACTATTATGAAATATATAAAAGCTACTGATTTGTGGGCATTTTGTATCCCAAGATGCTGCTGAAAATAGCAGTTACTATTTACTGAAAATTTACTGTTTCTGAGGTCCTTTCATGTGGTGCTTTATATATAAAAGTGTTTTAATCTGTCTGAAATCCCATAAAACAGATTATTACCATTATTACTGTCCAAATGAAGAAACCAAGCCTCAGAGAGTTTATATAATTAATGGCACAACTGGAACTTCAATCCAGATGTGTCTGGCTATAAAACAAACAAACAAAAAAAGACCCTGCTTTTTTCTTATTCTCTGCTACCCATGTATTTAATCAGTTTATGACTATGTAATATAATAAAAACAAATATTATGACACTGGCATTAATTAGGATTGTATTTATTAAATACATATAAATTTTAAAATTTTCAGTGTTTTTAAGAATTTCTGAGATCATTGTACCTTAGTTGTTGATAATTTAGAAACAATTTTAATTTTGATTATACATTTGGTCTAATTCTAATGTAAACATTAGGACAAGTTCAGAATGAAGATTTATGCTGAAATGTCACACTTATTGCAAGCAAGCATTAAACTATCTGATTCAGAATTACTTTGAGTCAGAGTAATAACCTTAGTATTACATTATAGCTCACAAGCTACAGTACTTCTTTTCTAATACATTATATTTTTCTATTCAAACCATAGTTCTAGAAAAAAAAGTATAATCAAAATATTTTTCCATGTACTAGAAAATGTCAACATAATTTAACTTAATATTTTTATCCAGCCCCAATCTTTCTCCTGAATTCAACTATATTCAGTCGCATACTCAATAGACTATTTGGAGGTCCAGTACTGAATTCTCTCTTTCACCTTCCACTCCGCCTGAACTACCGCACTCATCCTTGTCTTCGTCACATTGATCCATTATCTAGTCCATCATGCCAGTTACTTAATTCTCTCACATCTCACACCAATTCTATCAGCAATTCCTGTTTATTCTTTCTGCAAAATATATCCTCCATCCACTTTTCAGTATTTCCACTAAAACTGTTTTGGTCCAAGCTACTATAATCTCAGTTGGGCTTTTGCAATACCTCCTAACTGTCTTCCTGGCTCCCTTAACCATATTCACAATGTAATAGCCTTTAGTGATCCAAATAGAACACAATCTGATGATGTCAATCTCTTGCCCAGAACTATGAGCTTCCCAACGTATTTAGGGAAAAGCAGGAGTCCTTAAACTGCCTATAAAACCCTGTATATAATCACCAGTCACTTCTCTGAGCTTCTCTTCCCACTGCTGTCTTCCTGTTATTCATATGTCAAGATCTCACCTCATGACCTTTCTATTCACTGTATCCTCTGCCTAGAACATTCCTGTTCTAGATATTTGATGTGGTTAGAGATACTCTGCTTGTAACCTTGTTCCTTCACCTTCTTTGGTTCTCTGTCCAAATGAGGTTGCTCTAGACTGAATGTGTAAATGTATGAATGTTTCTGTCTCCTCCAAAATTTATATTGAAACTTAATCCCTGCAATGCAATATTGTTGGGAGATGGGGCTTAATGGGAGGTGTTTAGGTCATGAGTGCATAGCCCTCATGAATGAATTAATGCCACCATAAAAAGGGCTTTCAGGACTGAGTTTGCTCTCTTCTGCCAGTGGGGATCCAGCATTAATTCCTTTTTTTTTTTTACTCTTTACCTTCTGCCACGTGAGGATGCAGCAAGAAAGCCCACCTCAGATGCCAGCAACTTAATCTTGGACTTCTTAGCCTCTAGAACTGTGAGAGAACAAATTTCTATACTCTGTAAATTTCCTAGTCTTCCCTCATGAGTAAGATTATTCCCCTTGTAATAAAAGGGCTCAAGACTGAAAGTGGCACTCTGCTGCCCTTCCATGTTACACCATGTGAGGACACACCAACAAAGAGCCATTTTAGAAGCAGAGAGCTGCCCTCACCAGACACCAATGCCAGCACCTTGACCTTGAACTTCTCAGCCTCCAGAATGTAAAAAATAAGTTTCTGTTCTTTATAAATATTCTATCTGTGGCATCATGTTATAGCATCATTTACAGACGTAAGACAGACATATTACCAATGAGGATACTGCTTGCTGTCTGTCTCTGCTAACCAAATGTTAGCCCCATGAAAACAAGTTTGTTCAGTGCTATACCTTCAGAACTTAGAAGAATGTTTGGTTTGTAGTAGGTATCAAATTACTGATTTTTTGTCAATCTGAAAAAAAAATTAGGACAAAAATAGTTTTGTTTTGAGATATAAGTTTTATGAGAACTAAGTTGAATATAGCTATCTCAAATATTTATCATTAATATCAATCACTCTATATGAATTATACTAAACAATGATAAAGGAAACAGAGGGTAGCTTTTCCCTAGGGATGGCAAGATGCCAGATAAAGCAGGTTTCCATTTTCTTCTACTTTATCCCTCAAAATGCTTAACCCAGACAAAGACAGCCATGTATTTAAAAACTGCTTTTAACAACTGTTTCCTCATTTTAGCCATTCATCTGTCTTCTTTAGAGAAAGTTCTATTCATCTCTCTTGCCCAATGATCTAAGGGATTATTGGCTCTTTTTATGTTTATTAATTTGAGTTCTCTGTAGATCCTAGTTATCAAGCTTTTGTCTGAATCAAAATATGTAAATATCCTTTCCCAATGTGTAGGTTGTCTGTTTGCTTTGGTTGTTATCTC